TTGTGTTATCTAAGTTGAGAGTGTGGCTAATTCATCACATGCATGTACAATTTGAGAAGATATGAGCTTGAATGCATGAGTTTGTTATGTTGGTGTTGAGTTTGACATATTTTAGGACATGCATGTGGATAAACCAAGAAATTGAGCTCCATAATGTTATAATCTTGAATTGGTGCCATGTTAATATGATTATATTTGAGATTTAAGCCATTGCATGCAAGTATTGTGGCTGGAAAGCCGAAATGAAGCTCAAGAATGCGATTCTGGGTTTTCTAGAATTTTAAGGTCCGCTCGAGCGGGGAACACGACGAAGGGCCGCTCGAGCGGGAAAATCGTGCTCCCAGCACTTTTTGCAGAGTCGGACGTCTGCTCGAGCGGGATATCTCATGCTCAAGCGTGTGGTTTTTGTAGGCAGGCCTTCCGCTTGAGCTCTCTATTACACGCTCGAGCGTATTTTTCATGCAACCAGTACTTTTGCAGGCCTTAAAGGTCCGCTCGAGCGAGGATCCTGTTTTCTGAAATTTTGTTCATGCGTTCTATGTTTCGTTTTCCGTTCTCTTTCACTTGTGATCACTTTTAGGCATATGTTACGCATTGTAAATGAGTTAGTGAGATATAAATAAAGCCTAAAGAGGAATATGTGAATTAAAGAACGGATCGAACTGTTAGTGACCCTTTTGTGTTCATGAAATGTGTAGGGTCAAGCTCCAGGGCAAATCCACAAGCCGATCACTGTGAGTAATATCGATATTTGAAAGCTTATCAATGTCCAAATATGTATTCCCTTATAAGCTTTATTGAATTGCTAATTGGGATTGTGGACAAAAGTCTGACATGAATGAATAGATGGACCAAAGGTCGTTTTGATGATGATAAATGGACCAAAGGTCGTTTTGATAGAAATGAATGGACCGAAGGTCGTTTTGATAGAACTGAATGGACCGAAGGTCGTTTTGATAGAAAGGAGCGGACCGAAGGTCGTTTTGACATATACAAATGGACCGAAGGTCGTTTTGACATATATGAATGGACTAAAGGTCGTTTTGACATGAACGAATGGGCCGAAGGCCGCTTTGACATAAATGAATGGGCCAAAGGCCATTTTGACAGAAATGAATGGGCCGAAGGCCGTTTCGACATAAGTGAATGGGCCGAAGGCCGTTTTGCCATGAATGGAAACCTGAATGGGCTAAAGGCCAAAATGTTTGGAACTACAGTTACTTGATTTGAATTTCGTATGGTTATATATATCTGTTAAATAGAAATATGAATTGGGCCCAAGGCCGTTTGGAATCTGTTGTTCTACATTGTTATGTAATTTCTGTATTTGATATTATTCACTGGGCTATCGCTCACGTTCATTCGTGTGTTTGTAGGTGAGCAAAGAGAAGTCCAAACCCAGCCCCAGTGAAGTCTGCCATGAACAACACGAGTTTTGGAGAGTCAGTCTTGTGTCTCACGCGCGAGACCCATCCTTGCCATTTTGTTATGCATCTATGTTTTGTCCTGTTGGCAAGGACCTTGTGTATATTTGTATATAGTCTGTTATGGGTTGGCTCAGTTTAGATGATCTTGTCTGTAAAGAAGTTTATGCTACTATACTTTTGATGTGGGTTATTAACGTATATGAGCATGGTTTGTTTGATGTGCATATAAGCACGGCTCTATGGACAAAGTTTTACATTTTTGCTTCCGTTTGGCCCTTTTACTCTGACGAGTTATGTCTGTTTTGGTCTGAGGCCGTAGGTAATCACAGGATTACTGGCCGGTTATGTCCTTAACCCATAGGGGCGGGTTCGGGTCATGACATTATGCTTCCCCACCACCACCACATTCCTAATCTTCTTATAATTATATATATATATATATATATATATATATATATTATTTTTTTTATATGCACAGAATTTGATTATAAAATTAAACACAATCCTAATACATGAGATGGAACTCATTAAATGTGTAGGTCTCATCCCCATGTGAGAGGATAGTATCTTATTGTGATCTGATTCTTATATTATGTGAAAAGATTGTATCCAATTTTATGTACTTAGAATTGTTCTATATGTATGTGTGTGTGTATATTCCGAACCATAAAAATAATTTGGTAGTTTTTATTCTGTAATTTTAATAAACTCTTCAATATTGTCCCGATTCATGTAGAGGAAGATGTTTAGCCTTTTATGGGTGTTGATTTAAGCTTCTCATCAATTGAAACCAGCCCAACCATGGCATATCCCATATCCCCACCACACTTACAAACCATCCTGTTTGGGCTTAGCCTAACCAATCTGTTTAAGAAATATACTTGGCGCAACTAAAAAATGTGTTCCATGCGTGTGAAAACTATGAAAATTTACAAAAAAATATTTACTTGTACACAACACATTCTTTACTTGCACCCAACATAATTGCAGTGGTGAGGTGGGAAGTTGTGATGGCTGAGGGGGAAGAGGATTACAAGGAAGGGAGGGGAGGGGCTAAGGAGGTTGGGCTATCAATGAAGAAGATGGAGGGAAGAGGGTGGTTGTTGTGGGAAATGATGGGTCATTGGTGGCGGAAGAGCATTATGGAGCGAGTTGCAATGGTGGCTAGTGATAGGAAAATTTATAAAATCAAAACCAAATTCCACTTCTTTGAATTTTTCCATTTTTCTCATGAAATTTTTTTCCCTCATTTCTTGTATGTCAAAATTTCCAAATTATTCACTGATATTTCCAATATCAAATAAATTTTAACCATCCACGAACCTAAATGGTACAACAACCATTTTTAAGGACTCTCTGCAGATCTAAAACACAAACAATTGCCCCATTTTTGTCCTCTTAAACTCAGGTCGACCTTTAACCAATAATTCTTCTTAGAGTTGTAAAAACATATAAAATAAATGGTTAATTTCACTTTATACCCTTAAACTATTACCAAATTATTTAGTTAGTTCTTAAAATATCGATTGAATCTATTAAGTTCTTAAAATATATAAATCAAAATCTACTTAATTCCTAAACTATCAATTGAATCTATTAAGTTTATAAAGTATGTAATTCAAACCTATTTAGTCCCTAAAAATATTACAAAAATAAAATATAAACCCATAAGTATTATAAATTAGTAAAATATCCTACCTAGTTAACATTTTATTCCAAAAATATCTTATATTTATATTTTGTCTTTAAAAAGTGTTTTGTTTTGCTGTGTGTTTAAATTGGTATAAAATCCTAGTTTCTCAACATTGGCAATAAAATAATATGCGTATCAGATATAGTGAAGAAGTAGAATAATACATTTCAAATAATAACACTTCATGTGATAATCTGTTCCCAGAAAGACCGCTCGAGCGATGGTTTGACCGCTCGAGCGGTTATGATAGATTCCTAGTATTTTATTTTGCAGACTGAGTTGAGAAGAGGACCGCTTGAGTGAGCGGTTAATTTATCGCTCAAGCGTAGAAGTGGGACGTCTAGTATTTTGAGTTATAGGCTAAAATACTGAGAATATAGGTTCACTGCCGGAGCGGAGCAGTGAAAAGATCGCGCGAGCGATCTACGCGAAATCAACAACTTAAAAGTTACTTTTTAGATAACTTCTTTCACTTTTTCTTTTCTTCTTTCTCTCCTCTACTAAACTCTAAAAATCCTAGTTTTCTCTCCCTAAAATATCTCACTTTTAACTAAGATTTAAGCCTACATCCCTTGCAAAACACGAAGCCTACCTAGAGATCTTGATTCTCAACGATTGGATTTTGATTTCTCGAAAAGTTCTTCTAGAATCTAGCTCCATTGCTCTCATTCTTGAGGTAGGGTTACTTTTAACTTAGTATCTCTTTACTTTGGGATGATTATGTGGTATTATCTTGACTATGATGCTCTATGAGATAATTTTGTTCACAAAATAAGTTTAATGTTTTAAAATGGGAGGTTTACCTAAATTTTTCAAAGATTTCAAATAAACCCTTGTTAATTATAGATATTGATGTTGAAAATTGACTCCTAAAGTAAAAGAAGGGAAAAGCCCTAAATTTTTCAGAACCCTAGCTTTGATTTTGATGAAATAATGATGATTTGGTTAAATTGATCCTTGAACCTTGCAATTGAGTGGATGGTAGATATGAATGTGTAGAGATGAGATTTGAGATTACTGTGATAAGGTGTATTGAGAATTGCCATTACATATATTATGTTCATTACAAAGTTTATCTCATGAACAATATAATTCTTAGGTATTTGGAAAGGTTAAAAGGGAGGTAAATAACATGTGAGTCCGAATAGTGAGTCGGTTTGGGAAACGTACTATTAGTGTTGGTATTGGTACTTGCATGGGGAGTTAAGATGCCCAATTCTCCTGTCTTGAACTTGTCGCTGGATGAATGTGAAAAAATATTTTTGTGGGTGTCCACTGGTCCTGCTGTATTAATAGTCAGTAAAAGTGAAAAAACTTATGATTTTAGGTGTCCATCGCCCTGCTTTATTAATAGTTGGCAAATTTAGGAATATGCTTTGTTATAAATATGTGTATATGTATTATTAGAACTCTTGCGAGGGATTTGATGGCATATTTACCACCCCGGTGTTAAGGAATGGGGTTTAAATTGAATGACAGAGGATTATTATTATTTCATATAAATATGTTAATTGAACTACAACAAAAAAAGGTTTTTTCGGTGCGCAATGCATGCCGTAAAAACTCTTCTACGACGTGCAACGCGCATCATATTATGACCAGTCATGGAAAGTCATTCACTTTCAACGACATACTATAATGCGCCGTTAAAAATTATTTAACGGCAAATTTTGTGCGTCATTGTTACTTTTTCTACGACTACTTTTGCACGCCATTAATTTGTGAGTCAAATAACGACGCTGATTGAGCACCGTAGAATATGTAATACGACTTGCTCAGCATGTCGTAGAATGTGCAGTATTTTTTTTTTTTAATTTAGTAGATTCTATTTACCTGTTTTATACAATCTAACAAACATTACAAACAAGCTTCACAAAATATCAATCAACCACCAAATTATTATTTCAAGCATAAAAAATAAACTACATCCGTAAATTATGAATATTCAAAAATTGTCAATACATTCCAAACATCCAAAAACTAATCATAAGTTCAAAATCATCCAAAAGGACTATCCTTAAGTTCTTAATTATCCAAAAAGTTATAAACCATCCAAAATTGTATCATATATAAGTTTGTAAATAAAATCCAGAACTATTCAAAGATTATAGAAATCTATTCATCAAAGTCCTCAAAAACTAGCCATCACCATCATCATCGTCACTGCCACCATTGGGCTCATACTCATCATTTGAACCATCTCCTCTATCATCCTGTAACATTCATCGACATGTCTGCAAGAGACCTATATGACAAATGGAATGGAGATCAATACAGTTAAAAAGCAGAAATAAGACAAGGTTAAACCCCTTAACCCAAAATAAGGAATGAAAATAAAACACAAAATAATAATAATTATTACAATCCAACGTCAAGAAAGAACAGCAGTTTATACATGACTCATAATCCAAAAACATTATATGAAGGATATCAAGCCCCAAAACATTGTAACATAGAAATAATTTGAAACATTAACTTCCACATCCTTATTGGTGCACAAATAGAGGAACACACATGCTGATTTCAAAAAGATCATCACAAACATATATACCTTTTCCTTGAATTTTTAGGTTGTGGATCACTAAGTAAAGATCATTGAATATTTGATAGCCAACAACATTGTCAATGATTAACTCACTACTTGAAGCAATTTTCATAACAAAATAGAAAAGTTGAACAGAAAAAATCTGATATGTTCATACAATATCATCCCCATGAAATGCTGCAATGATTTGCAGTTGTGTACAGTACTGCACTATATGCTAGGTATGTATGACCCAAAAAGGTTATAAGGAGTACTCATAATGTAGTATTAAAAGGTACCTTGGTTGTGATACTGAGGACGATATGAAGCCAAGTCTTCCAAGTCCTTAACTCGTCTTTCTCCAATTGAAAATACCTAAAACATCTACTAGAATAAAAAGTAATAGCTACCTGCCATTGATTCTCAATACATTATTATTATGAATCAGAGTTCAATAACGAAAACACCTAATCTTCCACATGTATATATAGTTTGAAATGTTATTTTTTTTTACAAACAAGGCATTGATCACACCTTATATAAACCAAGTTTTCACTCAACAAATTTTTTTTACTGTTACCTCCACATGTAATCGGGTTACATCTCCACATTGCTTCTCTAAACCTTAAATTGAATGCTCTGTTTTGATGGCTTGCTCAATCATCTTTTTTGTCCTCTTTGCGAGTACATTGAGCCTCATATTTTATACTCTAATTTTTGGTATATCTAATTCAATTACCTAATAAATAAATAAATAAAAGAATCAGTTCATTTTCTTATAATCCAGACACTACAACAAATTCGACATTCACAATTTGTTTTCATGCGATCGGATGGCATGTATGGGATGTTCAACATTCAGTTACAGTATATTCTGGATTTGCCTTGAAAAAGGCTAATAAAAGATCCCAACAGCCAGCAATCTATCACAAACTAGTTTGCTTCAGATTTTTTTGTCCAGCTAGACCAAATATTTATGGCAATTTTGCCCACAAAATGAGCCCATTGATAGGAACACTCCTAAGAATCAGTAATCCATAAGTAAATGATTAAGACACCAACAACCACCTTCAATCTATCACAAATTAGCTTGCTTTACATTTTTGGTCCAGCTAACTAAACAAAGATTCATACTGGTTTGATCCACAAATTTAGTCCTCCATTGGTGGGAATATGCCTAAGAATCAATAATCCATTATTGAATGATTAAGACACCACTTAAATGCAAGTGTTATGTCCATAACAATCATTTTCCTTTAACAACAAACTTAAATTTCACATTGCCCTACCACATTGATTTCGTAGCTTATTGGAAATTTATTCAACTACTATGAGTAACAGATAAATATCATATATTTTACGTCAATTTATGGAAGATAATCTCATGATTAAATACAGATGATGGATCTGAAATCATTTAACAGTGGATAGCTTAGTATATGCTAGTGTCAGGTGCTACACAATTAGCAACCAAATTCTACAATTTTGGGCTCTAGTGGATAGGTTAGCTAATTTTTTAACCCTCTTTCTTTTCCCTCTCTTCTCGGTTTTGCTAAAAAATTTAGGGCACTTGCCAAAAATATATAAGATCCAGAAAAGAAGTCCAAACACCAAAATGGTTCAACGCTGCAGACTAGTAGATTTCAATTATAATCAAAAAGTAATTTCAAAATAATTAACCTCTTGAGCTTGCTGAGGCCTCAATTCCCTATAACAAGGCAACTAAGAGAAATATTATCAATTGCTTCACATATCTTCTCCCGAGCATCTCCCCAGTAGATCTTCAAAAGCACCATAATCTGTTCACAAATGCAACACAAACTCAGTTTATTTCGATGTAGAACTTCAAAAAAAAATTGGGAGATTTGGTGATAGACCCCTCACTGTTTAATTTATCTTTCAAAAGAACAAGAATTATATAGATACTTTCAAAACGCCCTAATATTTTAAAACTTGTTTCTTTTACTATATTATCCTTATATCTATCAGCTCTCCTATTAAACCATCCTCACAGTGTATTTCAAAGTAAAATTTTACTTTGAATCACAGTAAACTTTATTCTGATTCAGAGTAAATTACTCTGAATCAGAGTAAAGTTTACTATGATTCAAAGTAAATTTTATATCGTTACGCAAATCAACATGTTTTTAACCAGAGCATTTAACAGTGGATGGCTTAGTACATGCTAGTGTCAGGTGCTACACAATTAGCAACCAAATTCTACAATTTTGGGCTCTAGTGGATAGGTTAGCTAATTTTTTAACCCTCTTTCTTTTCCCTCTCTTCTGTGTTTTGCTAAAAAATTTAGGGCACTTTGCCAAAAATATATAAGATCCAGAAAAGAAATCCAAACACCAAAATGGTTCAACATTGCAGAATAGTAGATTTCAATTATAATCAAAAAGTAATTTCAAAATAATTAACCTCTTGAGCTTGCTGAGGCCTCAATTCCCTATAACAAGGCAACTAAGAGAAATATTATCAATTGCTTCACATATCTTCTCCCGAGCATCTCCCCAGTAGATCTTCAAAAGCACCATAATCTGTTCACAAATGCAACACAAACTCAGTTTATTTCGATGTAGAACTTCAAAAAACAATTGGGAGATTTGGTGATAAACCCCTCACTGTTTAATTTATCTTTCAAAATGACAAGAATTATATAGGTATTTTCAAAACCCCCTAATATTTTAAAACTTGTTTCTTTTACTATATTATCCTCATATCTATCAGCTCTCCTATTAAACCATCCTCACAGTGTATTTCAAAGTAAAATTTTACTTTGAATCACAGTAAACTTTATTCTGATTCAGAGTAAATTACTCTGAATCAGAGTAAAGTTTACTATGATTCAAAGTAAATTTTATATCGTTACGCAAATCAACATGTTTTTAACCAGAGTAAAATTTTACTTTGAATCATAGTAAACTTTACTCTGAATCAGAGTAAAGTTTACTATAATTCAAAGTAAAATTTTATATTATTAAGCAAATCAACATGTTTTTAACCAGAGTAAAATTTTACTGTTACAAAAAATAAAATACATACTAAATGAATGAACCAGAGTCAAATTTTACTCTACATCAACATAATCATAATCTGACTGAGGTGGCCGTTTCCGAGAACACATCTAAATATCTCTCTATCTTTTGATTTCAAAGAATACATATGTTCAACAACACTCATACACACATATATATACATATATATATTCAAAACTCAGCTATGTGTTTAAAAACAATGCGAATAACCAAACAACTCCACCAAACACGCCTTTGTCGCCTCCTAGAGTGCCGCGACAGCGTTGATCTAGAACCCTAGATTGGTATTGAACCTCAAATTGGTGGCAATGGTAAACACACCTCCACATATCTACCTCTATATATATGTATATCTATAGCCAGAGTCTGGCGACAATCGTTGTCGTAGCCTTCGCATAGAGCTCACAAACCAATCTTTTTGCCTTCGTCAGATCAACATCACACTTCTCCACCTGACAATGCGGCGGTGACAACAACTCACCTCCACCACCACTACAAGTGGCCCCCTTGGCTATGAAGAGAAGCTGTGTTTAGAGGGGGAGGAGAGAGAGAGAGAAGGTGGGGAGAGAGTAGGCGGAGGTGGGAAGATTTAATTGAGGGTATAATAGTCTGATAAAATATTTAAATAATAAATTTTGTCATTTATGCAAGACTTTATAATTATGAGAGGGTTTAGAAAGTATAATTTTTTTTCTTAATCCTTTTAATAATGAAAGGAAGGTAAAAGGGGTTTATAGCCAAATTTCCCAAAACAATTTGAGCAAGTTCAAAGTCAATGGTTTTAACTTTATAGGGACGGAGATTGCACCTCTTTTTGCCTAGCAGCAGTATTAGCAATGTCTTGGAAAGTGCCTGAGCATTGTGGACCAGAATCAAAGACAGTAAAGCAGAGGAGCAAAAAGCTTAGAAAAATAAATAATTGTCAAACGAGTTCATGTTTGTGCCTCAGTGTAGCAGCTACACAATCTAAAATGGAAAAAGAAACTACAGACCCATTTCATACTGATTTGCAAAACTGATTTTCCTATGTTTTCAAAACAAAACGAACAACTAGGCAAGGCGAACTAGTCAAATTTGAATTACATTTAGTTTAGAGGGGTTACTGATCACTTAGGATTACAAAGAACTATGTATGTGTATATATATCATTCCCTGTATGTATATATATCATTCCCTGTATGTATATATATATTTATATGTATATATATGTATATAAAATACACCCAATCGAAGAATTCGCAGAAAGTTTCATTAATTCCAGCAGATTTTATGATAGCAGTGCCATAGCTCTTTCAGCAAAAAGAAAGTTTTCAACTATAAACTAGCACATAGAAATCCATCCTTAATTCTTCTTATACTCCTAGCAGTTATTATATAATCAAAGGCAATTCCATCTAATCACTTAAACTTTGACTATTACTTATGACTCGTGATACTTAATTGCTCATTATATCTTCTTAGCATTTTCTACCACATTATCATACTGAAATTGAACAGAAAATTGTCTAAAAGTAGATATCCACGTACAAATTCATCCACCTATTTCTCCAGCCAGATGCAATATAAAATTTAACAAATAGGAATAATATATATGTTTAACTTTTGACATCTAACATAGTTTTTAGTATAAATTGCAAAAATTGACAGGAACTAATTACCATGTTTGTCCTGAACAAAAGTAAGGCAATTTATCAATGATGACAAACTAATTACCATGTTGGTATCAAATTCGCTGCTATGAACAACCAATAATGTGCTATTCTTGTAGAATTAATATTTACTTAAATTTATTTATTTGGTTAGAACTCTTTGGTTGTTCAGCATTATATGAGTCATTTCAATTTTTCATGCTTTAATAGTGTTGTGATTTCTATCTTTCTAAAAAAAATATCACATTTTAATCCAAAATATAAAGCTCCAATACCCTAAATCTTTAGAAAGATAGAAATCACAACACTATTAAAGCATGAAAAATCGAAAAGACTCATATAATGCCGAACACCAGAAGAGTTCTAAACAAATAAATAAATTAAGTAAATATTAATTCTACAAGAATAGCACATTATTTTCTACAATACAGAATACTTAATTCCTCTCTTCAAATATTTACAAGTCACAATAATAAAAGAACAAATAATACTACTATATCAAATATAGACTATCAAGGATTTAAAAACCGTACTTAGGCATGAAATCACACTTGTATTGCTCCAACCTTTACTATGATATGACTTGATCAATTCTAGTTTCTTGTCAGAACATCAATCTTCAACATATAAACCTTTAAAGGGTAAATTTCAACACTGCATTTTGTTAGAACAGTGAACTTATATTATACCCATTAGTCACTCTTCTTATCCTCTGGTACAACCAGAGTAAACAAAGATGAAAAGTGGCTAAGAAAGAAGGAAATTAGGAATCTCACATGGGGCTTGCTTGAGACCATCTGCAGTCAAATTTTTGCTAAAATCAAGTCTGCTACCAGGTCAATTTTATTTATGTGTTCTTTATTTTTGGAGACAATAGTATTCTTTTAGTTTCAAATTTTGATAGACATGGAGTGCAGTGGTGATCCATGAATATCATTTTCGCCTAGTTATCAATTGGTTCCACAATATATATGGGCTTAAAATTACCATATCATTCACTTCATAGATCTTATGGTGAGGGAAACATGTACAGTAAGTAGTAAATGTACTATCGAACGAAGACGTACAGTAAACTTGTTCAGCAAACTAATATAATCTTGTCATTATATTACTAAACAGAAAGCTACTAATTAGTTTGAATCTACACCAATATTTTCAATAATCATACCTACCAACAGAGCATTTTAACTGTCACATTTCAAAGAAGTAAAGTTGCAAATCAAAACACAGACCCAAATCAGAAATTCAATTAATTATAATCATTTAAACATCTTACCTCTTTTAGTTCCGGCATTCCATTAAACGGTTGGTATGTCGCAATTCCATTAGCCCCACTTCCTTCTCTTCCAAGTATAGAATCATTGAAATTTTGCGAAAACCACTTCTCAATCAAATCTTGTGATAGCTATAACCACACCAAAAAAAAAAATCAACTCAAACCCAAGACCAAAAACCAATATAATGAAAATTAATCAAAGAAAAACAAAAACATACCCTATTTTCTGATAATACGAGCTGAATGATACCATTGGGATTCTTCAACGAATCGTAAGAATCTTCGAAAACCCTATCCAATCCAATGTAATAGGGTGAATCATTAGGCTTCGCAATCAGACTAGCCCTAGAAGAAATGTTAGCCTGCCCTATCAATCCACGGCTCAACAAATTAGACCGCGACACAGTCCGAGAGAGGGGTAGAGTTGGACGTAGTTGTTCAAATGCCTCTCTTGACTCGACATCCACGCGAACACCACCACTATTCCTTCCACTTTCCCACCTTCTCTTCTCCAGCAATAATACCTTCCCTTAATCCCCACATCTTCTTCTTCACCCCTCTCCTTTCCTCTCATCTTTCCCTCACTTTCTCAGGAAAATTGTCAATCTGATTTTCCTTTTCTAAAACCTAAAGCTTTGAAGTTTTCATCACAAAATCCAAAGGAATGGCAGAGCCAACAGAGGGTATGGGCTTGTTCATGAGGGATTGCTAAAGTTAGAAACAATCAAGGATGTAACTTGACTGTTTTTTTTTATTTTATTTTATTTTTTTTGGTGTTTGCCGCTCGGAAGTCGGCGTCCCACGACACATTTTAACATCCCATTGGAACACACATATACACTACTACGCGAACAAACTCTTAGGTCATGTTTGATTCACAACATTAATAGTGAGTTATTAATAATCTTATTAAATTAGTGTGGTATTAACTATTCCACCCCTACCCTATTACTAATAATCCTATAAATTTGTTGGATTAATTATCCATTGGATTAATAATCATAAACCAAAATGTCAAAACAAACATAGGATAATTGGGCCCACGGATTAATAATCCCAATCCCATGCTTTAATCCTTCCAATCAAACATGCCCTTAACATACAAAATTAGACTCTATTTTTTATCATATAATACTCTTCAACAAATATTTTTAACATCTCAACTAGCCTTGTTAGTTAATATGGAAGAATACATTATTAGAAGAATGCATTCTGATAAATAATAATAAGCATGGGGTTGAAACAAAAATATTTGTGATAAAAATTATCAAAGAAAAAAAAATCGGATGTGAATTTCCAAAGAGTGCCACATAGGACCAAAATCAATCCTTCATAGAGAACACTAAAGCAAAACAAAGGAGTCATAAAATCAACATCTCCATCAATCAAATATAACTCGAATTTTCTGAATATTTCATAGGTATATATATATATATAACTCAAATTTCAGATTCTACATGAACTGGATCTCAGAATAGCACAATTCAATTAACACAAAAAACAATTAAACAATACTAATTTCACATTAAAAAAAAAATTAGAAATTGACAAACTCAAATCCATCTAAAACAATTCCACAACCTTGAGCAATTAGATTCAATTTTCAAAATTCAATTCACAAAAACCTCAATCAAATTCACCGAAACACATTTATATCAACAGCAACCCAATCTTTGCCTACTAATATTTAAACTTCACACTACACAATCTGAGTCATACTTCATAGATACAGTAAATATGTATGTATACGCGCAGAGAGAGAGAGAATGAGAGAGATAAAAATTGAGAGAGTGGAAGAGAGAGAGAGTGATTCATACCGTTGGATATCTCATACGACAATGGCGAGTGAAAGAGCGAGAGAGCAGAGTTATACAAGTCTGTGATGCATGAGAGAGAGAGAGAGAGAGAGAGAGAGAGAGAGAGAAAACAATCAATGTTTGAATTTTTCTAGAAATAGGGAAAATATAAGGAAAACCGGGTAAAAGGGTAAAATAAATATAAAAAAAAATTTAAAAAGGAATAAATTGGTAGTGGATCGGTGATCATAGGTGCAGGCGATAGCGGTATATTGGCTATCGTGTGGTCTATGATGGCGTTGTGTCGGCAGTCGTGGGGGGCTACTAGGTGGGTCACAGGTCGGGAGAGAGCAACGAGAGGTTGTCATAGTGGGGAAAAACTGGCCGGAGGTGGAAGAAGTGGCGGTCGTTGGTGAGATTAGGGTTTGAAGAAGAAGAAGAAGAAGAAGAAGAAGAAGAAGAGGATGGAAGAGAGAGAGAGGAGATGGAAATGGGTGAGTGTATAAGTTTAATTAATTATAATGAGAAAATGAGTGTATAGAGATAGAATAGTGGTGTAAAGAGAAAGATTGAAACCTTGTGATGTTCCATTATGATTAGAGGTAGGCAAAATAGTTATTTTGGAAAAAAAACAAAAATTTCTATTTTTTTTTTTTTTTTTTTGGAAAAATAATATTGGCGCCACAAATTTCATTTTGGCGCTTTTTTTTTTTTTTTAATCATACAATTCACAACATGCATTGTGCATCGTAAAAAGGCAATACTTTTAACGGCAAGCGATGTGTACGTCGTAAAAAGTGCAATACTTTTAACAGCGAGCGTTGTGTATGCCGTGAAAAGTATTCACTTTTCACGGCTGGCATGGCATATGTGCATCGTGTATAATTGATGCATTAACAGCAAGCCATACGTACGTCGTAGAAAGTTTTATTATTTGCAGCATGCATTGCAAGCCGTAAAAAAATTATCGTTATTACCATTCACGGCCTACGCAATACACACGCCGTGATTGGAAAAGTATTTACGACGTGCAAAAAAAGCAAGTCGTAAAAGTGAGAAACTACGGCGTGTATTTATTGTGTGCCATTGATGTGGTGTCGTAAAAAGTCAGTTTTGTTGCAGTGTGAAGTTTGTTCTTGGTTATGGTAGTGTCATATGGATATTTCAAATAATCAGATATACTCTGTTAAATGTATCTCTATTGGACATATAGCTCATCCCTATCTAACATTTCAGGACCTAGAGATGTGCCTCCAACCCAATGATCACGAGGTGGATTTTATGAATAAAGCACGAAGGCTCATGGATGTGATATTGTGAAAGCTCTGAGCTTATCTGTTTTGGGACTGAATGTCCATTTTTGTTGCACCAAGGCCCTTGCCTTGATATTTGTAAGCCCTCAGGGCATTGTATCTGAATTCTCTAGTTTCTTGAACTACAACGACATTACTCTAATTGTAATTGAAATTGAAATTGAAACCTTTTAACTATAGTTCAATGAGAAATAGAGCTTTTTATACTAAAGGGATCTGTGGATTTTACAGAATTACTAAGCGAGGCATTTTAGTAATTTAAGTTAGTGAAGTTAAATATGAATTGTTAATTATTATTGTTTTATATATTTGGGGTGTTACAACTTGGTGTCAGAGCTAATCAGGTTTGAACACCTTGAGCTCGTAGGATGTGGCTTTTGCTACAATAGGTTTACCATGCTAAGAAGGGACATTAGTTTGTCACGTGTAATTTATGTGTTTATGTGACTATATGAGTATGGGGTTAAACTTCAAGGATACGACACGAGCCTATTACATTCATCGAAATCCTTTTGGAAAGGCACCTAATCAATACTTCTTCCACTTGGAGATCTTTGAGCACCACGGGACATGTTGATAGCTTAGGCGGATGATCTGTATGTGTTCTATATAACTATGTACTTATATAGCTTGTTTAGGTGAATTAAATGCATGTATAGAATCATGTTGGTACGTGTGTGTCATATGAAGCGACGTATGGGTATGCGAATTGTGAATTTAATCTTATCTCTTTTTCATATAGGATTTCTAGATGTGGCAGAGGTCGTGGTAGACCTTGCCGAGGTGGTGGAGATATTCCAGCCCAACAAGAGATCCCTCCTCAAGAAGAAAGGATTGATCAAAATAATGTGGCCGCTCCACCAATCCAAGATGCAATGGAGGTATTAACGCGAGAGATGGTTAGGGCTCTTAAAGAGTCCATGGACATACTTAGAGGCAAGCAAGTGGGTAGAACCATTGAGAGTGAAACTAGAGTCATGTTTATGAAAAAGGAATTCTTTCATTCCAATCTCGCCAAGTTCAGTGGCGGACGAACTCGATCCAATGAAAGCTGATAAATGGGTATAACAGATTATTAAGTCCTTTGATATTTTAGACATCCGTGAGAGTGAGCTTCGAGTGGCATTGGCAGCTTATCAATTGAAGGGAGAGGCCGAGCAGTGGTGGAAGTATGCTAGGAATCACATTGAGCACACTTGGGAGGCATTCACTCACACTTTCCAAGAGAAGTTCCTCCCTTCCACTACTAGAGAACGGTTGAGGAGACAGTTTGTAATAAATTTTACTATGTTTCACAACACAATTTTACTCTAATTTATAATAAATTAACGTCAATAGTACAATTTTACTATGTTTCACAGTACAATTTTACTCTAATTTATAATAAATTTTACTGTAAAATTTTAAATTTTAAATAATAAATTACTATTATCATCATCACTAAATAGCATACTCACTATAATTATTAGCAAACAATTACAAAAATATAGGGAAAGCACCAATAAGTTCTATTTTTATATTTTAGTAACCAATAAATTCTTTAAATAATTTAATGAATCCAACAGCCTTCATCTGTGTGGAAATGACAATATAACCCTATGTTTTACAGGCATGGATGGTGGGTAATAAATTGCCAATTGTTTGAAATTCCACATTAACCTAAAACTTATTAAAAGGTTTTTGTACTCCTTTCTAGAATGTTTCAAGAATCCCACAAGTCAATCCATTCCAAAACAGAAATATTCTCATATCAGAATCCACCACCATTTTTCAATAGGTTTGATTTTATTGACAACGGTGATTTATGTGAGAATGTGATAATGTCTGTGTGAAGTTCGAATTCTGTCTTTTTTTTCTTTTTTTTGGGGGGGGGGTGTTAAAATGAAAGAGTTGAAATCTGATAATTTAAATGTCACAATCACAATCACATGAACCAAAATAAAA